TTGAATGGTCTTAACTATTTGCATGGGCTTGGTATTGTGCATTGCGACGTGAAGCCACACAACATGCTTTTGGGGATGGATGGTGTGTGCAAGCTTTCCGACTTTGGTTCCACCATCTCCGAGGCAACTGACATGGCACGGACGATGGTGGACGAGGTGATGCTGCGTGGCACGGCTCTCTACATGGCTCCTGAGGTGGCGAGTGGGGGTCGTTGCACGCCTCAGTCAGACATTTTTTCGCTGGGGATTTCACTGCTAGAGATGCTGCTTGGGCGTCTTCCGTGGAGGTGGAGCCGCACTGCGCCGGGGGGGAGCGATGCGGCGTCACTGCAGGCTCTGTTTAACCGTGACCTCATCTTTGTGCAGAGTCTTGCCCGTGGATACCTGGAGCCCGAGATTCCAGATTTCCTCGACTTTGAGGTGGCTCATTTTGTTCGTTCCTGCTGCCACCCCAACCCTGCCATGCGACCGTCTGCTTTTGGCCTTCTTTCATATGCTTTTACTTTGTGAATAGAGATGTGTGGGTCGCAGTTGCATGGGTTTATTATTGTTATTATTATTATTTCCCCCATACATGACCGTTCCTCCTCCGCACGTGTAGCGTTAGAAGCCTACATTTCCTGGCAATATAAAGGAGTATCGCTCGACTTCGTTACCAGCAGTGTTATGACGCTACACGTCGGCATTTGCAGCTGTGGGTTGGGAGGGAGACTACTTTATTTCTCCTGGGCCTATCTGAACATCGGCACCCACCCCAAAGAAGGCAGACTGCCGTCACTGTAAGCCAACACGAAGTCAAAGAGAGTAATTGCTGGCTCTTGGCGTTCTTCTTTGCGAGGCACTTAACCTTGACACGACGACAGGGGGCCGGCTTCGCCAGGGTCTTTGAGTTGTTTTTTTTTTTCTCCTTTTTTGTTATGTACACATATACGCATGCACATGCATGTATGTGCTTTTCTTTTTAAGTAGCATGGCGTTGTTTTATTTTCTGATTAAAAGAAAAGACATTTTTTATCATTATGCGTGCGTTTGTTTTAGTTGTTTTGTTGGAGTAGTTTTGCTGACGCTGGTGGTGGTCTGAGGCGGCTCAGGAGTGTGCGGTTAGTGTTTTGATTTGCTTTGAAGCATGCATCTTTTGTTTTCCTGGACGTGGCTACTTTGTTACTTGCCATGTTTGGGGCGGCAACATCTCGCGTTACAGTGTTGTGGGGAGTGTGAAGGCTCCCATGTTTTTTTGTTTTGTTTGCTCTGGCTCTTTCTTTCTTTCTCGTTCTATATAGACATACATTTTTTGTTTTTGTTTTCCTTCTGCCTGCCGTTGCGTTGGAAAAGTCGAATACGTCTTTGTCGCAATCGCACTCTCTCTCTCTCTCTGTATGTGTGTGTATTGTTGTATTTTTAATATTTTACCTCTCTTCCTTTTATGACGTGTTGGCGAAGGAGAAAAAGTGGCGACTTTTCATGAATGACGAAGGGGGAAGGATAACTCACGAGAGCCCTTAAGGCTGTTAACACAGTTCCAATTTGTCATGGTGACCCCAGGCTACGTTTCTACCACGATGTCTTGCCGTTTCTCGCGGCAAAGGTCGGTGTGGTAGAAACGTAGTCTAGGGATTTGCTGGCCTCGTCTTTGAGAGGTCTTTTCATCAATTTTTGGCCTTCGGATTAGTCTAGGCGCTACGTATCCTTTTTAAACACGGATCTATGCACTTCTTGCGAGGTGAGAGCCGTGCTTCAGCAACGCTATGGGGCGGTAATCGGGATTTGAACGCTATATCATCCTAAACGTCGTCACGGTTGCGGGGAGACGTTGAAATTACTAAGGGCGTTTGAGCGGAAGTGTGAGGTGGCATTAGAGGTCGTGAAGTTCCGTTATTGTTATTATTATTTGGTGATGTAAGCCGCAATCTACTTCTTATTCCAGAGGTGTGAGGAATGACAGAGTTTGCGTCGCATGCTCATAACTCGGTAGACGCTACGCTGAACACTGGGGTAGGAGACGTGCACTCTTATTACTGAGCATGGATACAAGATTTGGGTCAAAGGGTATGGACAGACACGTATGTTTTTTAGTATGCATTGCCTCCAGATCCATGCAGTGATCCGCGCTTACTTTTTTTTTTTGTTCTAGAGGACCTTATAGACATGAACGACCTTCGAGAAGGTGTGGAGCGTATAGCTTTTTCCTTGGGTTTTTCAACAAAAGAAAAACACCGTGCCAAGGGGCTTCTGGGGTGAATTGTCAGAGATACAAAGGGGACGGGTTGAGTTCTTGTTGCCCAGACCGCAACACCACCTTCATTTGATATGCCTCAACGCAGGCTGCATTTATTGTGCGGAGTGCAAGTATTTTTTAGTGACGGACTCATGAGGACTGTCAAGGGATTTGAAACGATTTCATTTTTGTCGCGACCGGAAGGTGGAGTGGACTGTCGTCGTGCTTGATGGTGAGATTGGCGGTAACATTGGTTGTCCCTCCACTACTTTGTTTCATGAATTTCTGGGTTTGCGTGAGTCTGAGCTGCCACTACGTGTCGCCAACACCGTGACGGTGGAGGAGCCCTTCCTCACTCCCCGCTCTTTACTTGCGGGGCGCGTCTTTGTTATTTGGACAAGTTTTTTTTTTTTTATTGGTCGCCTTCTCCGTTTTCGGTGCGCACTGATGTCGCTGCCTTCCTTGTCGTCGGTGGTGCTGACTAGTACGTTGCCGCGAAACCTATTGATGACTGTTGCAAATCGATGAGGGTACTCTGGGATGGGGCGGGCTTTCCACTGGTACGTTTCCCATTACAATTGTATGTATCTATACGCGGACAATAATAATTACGTTCCTGGCGTGTGTGTGTATGTGTGATAAGGAGAGGGGCGATTATTTTTCTTTCATTATTTACGGAGGGGTGGGAAGAGGCCGTGACATGATATATAAAATATGTTTGTGTGATTGAGATTTTTTTTTGGTTTGGTTTCCTGTTTTAGCGTTTTTTGTCCTTCAAAAAAAAAAGAAGAAAACAACAACAACGTGGTGCTCTGACAAGTTTTATTATGATGTGGATCCCTTGTTTTATGCGCTCTTCACTGCTTCACTCTTCTTGTTGCTTGGTTTTCTTTGGTCGCTGCGTTGTAGTTATCACACATGGAAGAGCAAACGCGTGAATGGTCCCCGAAGGCGGCTACGACCTCTGTGACCCCGTTAAATGCGTCAGAGCCACAACATTTTTCTGAGGCCTTATTGCGGAACCCACTTGGGAGTGTTTTTTGCGAGACCACTCTTGGTTGTATGCCGAACTTTCCTGCGTATCTTGGGGCTCAGGGGCTTGACGAGCACGAAGGTGAAAAGGCAGAGAAAGAGGCCACCTCTTTAAGAGGGGCGGCGGGGAACAGTGAGAAGCGGGGTTTTGTCATCAGCACGGTTGTGGCTGTGGCTCTTGTCATTTCTTTTGGTGTGATAACCGTAGGCCTAGCTGGTTTTCTTCCTGGCCACCTTATTGGGTTTCGTGCCGTCGCCGGCACTGCGGAGCTCATTCAAGTGGAGGCTGTGCGGGGCGTTATTATTATTATGCGTTCAACGATACTGCAGCTCCCGGACTTTGCCCACACTGTCACTGCAAATTATATGCTCAACCAAACCTCCACGTATACACCTGATGCATTCCCCAAGTCCTCCCAGTCGTTACTACATTCACTATTGAGCGTTCTCTCAACGTTTAAAAACACGATTTACTTTTTCAAATTTATTTACAAAGGCGGTCTTTACGGCGTTGCATCTGAGTTTCTTTGGCCCAGTCCTTTGCGTCAAGATTTTCTTCTGGGGGCCCATAATGATACGGTTGGTGTGTCTCCTGTCATTCTGTATGAAGCAACAGAACTGGATGTTGTGTCGCCTAGACCCCATGGCGACTGGGACATCTCTGGGGAATTGGAGCTGGAAAACGGCGCATTTAAACTCATAGTGGATCCCTGGGTGAAAAACAAAAGCTTCCCACAACGCTGGTTTCCAGGTTCTATGATTCGCACAGGTTTATACTTTGACTTTATCATACCATTTGAGATTAATGGGGACGCTGGTTTCTGCGAGGTGGGCATGACGACGCATCAGATTTTACGGGAGTCAAAACCACTTATTGCGGCTTTGCGACAACATGGGCGTGTGATGCTCTTTGATGACAAGCGAGATATTGTCATACTAACCAGTTGGGGGGAGAAAACGACGTGGTGGGAAGGAAAAGAGAACTTGCGTTTTGGCCATCTCACGCTGGAGGGTATTAAGGACCCTATTGCCGCCGCGGTTGCACGTAAAATAGGACTTCATAGACAACAAATGAATGATCTTGAAAATAACACAGCTGAACTCACCTTTCCATTTGAAAACAGTGCGGTACGGGCAAGTTTTGCACGGGTTACTGACAAAAATGGGTTAAGTGTCATGCTGTCTGTGGCTGTTCTGAGTTCTGATTTCTTTTCAGGAATTGTACAGGCACGCACCATCATTCTTGTTGTGGTTATTGTAATTGTTGTGTTGTCAGCCGTCACCGCCTTTGTGGGGGCCTGCTACCTGGTGAAGCCGTTGGCACACCTCGTGAGGGGGCTCAAAAAGGCGTCCAACTTGGAGTTCTCCTGCAGCGATAGTGAGGCTATGATCCCCTCAATAATTTTGGAGGTGGAGGAGATACAGGCGGATTATGTGAAACTGCTTCATCAGCTGCTAACACTTTGCAAGTTTGTGCCTGAGGCCATACTTGCCCACACAAATCTGAGCGATGCTCCAGGCGCGACTTCTTTTGTGGCGATGAATGAAACCCCAGCCGAACAGAGCGGTCTGTTTCTTTCCACGTCTAGCCGTTCACAGGGTGGGAAAAACAACGGAGAAGTGCACCGAGGCGTCAGGCTTAATAGTGGCATCTTTAGGGAACAACTTAACTTATTTGCACCGAAGCACTGTACGGTGGTAGCCGTTGAGTTTCAGGCATCTCAACTTACGCAGGACTCCAAAAACTGCATGGCCATCTTTATCACTACGGCGACGGAGATCTTTGGATGTATTGAGTTACTTGGGCCCGATAAATTTCTTGTAAGCTTTGGCGCACACACGGCGATCCCTATGCACTCTATAAAAGGGTGCCAATTTGCGTTTGAATTTTTTTCCAAGCTTACTCCTTCCGAACAGGAGGCGGTTGCTATTGTTGTGGAGTGCAACGAGTTTCTCGTCGGAACCTGTGGCGCCCACCTGCGCAATGCGCGTGTGGTATTTGGCACGGAGTACCTATTTGAGCTGACGAGAGCCTTGCAGGGAGGACCTTGCCACATCGCAGCTACCTCCGGCGTGGCTTCCCAAGTTCAAGGGTACCAGGCATATCCTATGGATTGTGTTCTCATTCAATCCACGACGCTACCAGTTGTGCTCTACGAACTACGCGTACTCACAGTGAGCGAGGAAATGCCTCGAAGCACCGCAAAACACTTTCGACTCGGATTTTCGTCAATGCGTCAGGGATACTACAAGCAGGCAATAACGCATTTTCAACGAGTGGAAAAATTATGTCCTGAAGCGAGACGTCTCATTCGGTTATGTGCACAGCACCGGTTAGCCAAGGACACGGCGCCATATGTGCGTAGTGTGAAAAGTGCATACGACATCGAAAGCAACGACCAATGTGAGTTAGTTACAGAAGTTCAGGAGGAAGCTCCAGTGAGTAAGACGGTCTCGCGGGAAGAGTCATCCTCAACTTTCGACGCGGAAAAACAGGAGTCTTCTGATGAAGATGATCTGGCCTTGTTTGCGATGTATCAATCATCATTGTCATCATCAGCATCAGCGACGTCGTTACAGGCATGTGAGGAAGTCGGCAACACCGCCGACGATCTCCCACTGTTACTAACAGATATGAACAAGCGAGTATGGACCAGGTCACTAAAAAAAATTAGTGAGGGGGCATTTAGTTCTGTGTACCTTGGGATGTCGGAGGATGGCGTGCAAGTGGCTATCAAATGTATTCCGCGGCTGCGTCGAGACATTAAGCAGGAATCGCTAGAGGCGGAAATGAACATTGCCTCCACGCTTCGTCACCCGAACATTGTTCAATACGTGTCCTGCAGCGTGATTCAGTCTCATCTTGCCATTATTATGGAGTACGTGCCTGGTGGCTCGTTGCATGCCGTGATCAAGAACTTTGGGCGCATGGGTCCGTTAGTTGCACGTCGATTTACGGTGGATATCTTGAATGGTCTTAACTATTTGCATGGGCTTGGTATTGTGCATTGCGACGT